GAGTTCTGTGAGTCTAGTGGCAAAGGCAGAATGACTTAGGGGAGAGGGCACATGCAGAGGCCCAATACCCAGCTGTGACCAGCCTGGACTCTCACCATTCACTTAGCTGCATGACCTTTAAATTCTTGAAGCTCCTGAACAGCCCTGACTCCTCACACCTCCTGCCACCTCTGCGTTCACTCTGATCAAAGGCAATAACAATGGCTGCTATAAAGTTTCTGAAGGCTTCATGCCGTGAGGGTGTTGGGGCCCTTACCACATTCTTCAACTCAGGGTGGGAGCTCATTGTCTGCCTTTAACCTGCAACCATTTATTATATGCTGGACACAGGCTGTGATAATACAGCAGAGACAAAGCCAGCCAGAGGCCCTTCCCAGAGGGTAATTGTGTTCTAGAGTGAAGGGTGGACAATAAGTGAGTGCAAGTAAGTGTGTAAATTGTTGCATGGTGATATGTGCTATGGACAGAGAGTAAAGCCAAGTCAGGCAGACGATGGGGAAGATCACTATTGTTTTATCACTGCAATTAAAATTATAGAATGTTATTCACATAATCAATTATAATCAACAGAATGGGTATAGCAATACAGCGGACTTCCCTGTTAACCTAAAATCACAAAGTAGTTGTAGAATTGTTTCCAAACAGGACAGTATGCAGGTAGATGAGTGATAAAGACAGAGAATTTGGGCTCAACCTTGAAACAAAGGGGAGGAATTTGCTGTCTAGAAAATGAAGTAGGGTTGGAGGTGAGGGGTCTGTGTGGGGGACATCTCGGGTAGGTGGCAGGGAGCTGTGTGTGTCTGTGGGTCTGTGAGCAGAGGCTGCAATCTGATGAGGAGTGGCTGGAACCCCGCTCTGGCTCTGAGAGAACCAGCAGTTGGCCTCACAGTCACTGGGCTGACATGGCCTCAGGCCCCACGCTGGGTGCACTGTGCACATTAGCTCATTGAAGGTGCTTCCGAACTTTATCAGGTGGGTACTGTTATCATCATTTTCAGGCAAGTTTGATCTTATCTAATCATACTAAACATAAAAGTTAGCATCAATAGAAAATGCCTCCTTAATAGGAAAACATATTTTTGTGCTTCAGTTTGTTTTCGGGTACACCCAGTCTGTCCAGGTAATAACCCCCTAAGTGGCTGGACTGATATTCCCAGGTATTTTGTTAAGGGCTCCTTGCTGTCCCACAATGTCTGCCTTAGATCAGGCCAGGGCACATTTTTCATAATACCCCCAGGCCTCTTTGGTGCCACTTCAAACTTGCCTGTGATGTCCCCTGATTCACTTCCACCTTGCACCTGCTCTTCAAAGCAGCCTCTGATGCACTGACTGCAAAGAGAATTTTAAGCAGGAAGCACAGTTGGTCTGCTGTGCTGGGAATGGGGAGGACACGTTCTTGGGAGAAAGAAAAAGAAAGGGGAGTGGAGAAGGGCAACCTGCAGCTGGATTGAAAACAGGAGAGAGAAATTGTATTGGTATATTGGTTTCTTAATTCATGTATTTTCTTACTCATTTGAGTGTTCATTTATTGAGTGTTCTTTACTGTAGCCCTTATGGACACTGAGACGAAGGAATGCAGTGTCTTTAATAGTTCAAAGTCTACCAGAAAAACAGGTGAGTAAATAGAAAATTATGAAGTCCGCTTAACATTAAAATTTAACATTTATGTAAAATTTAATTAAGATTTGGAAATTTATTTAGCATTTTCATGTGTCAGTTTGCTTAATGAAGAATTAGAAAAATAAGAGTGGACATCTGTATAAGATCATTTTCATGCTGCTGATAAAGACATACCCAAGACTGGGAAGAAAAAGAGGTTTAATTGTAGCTACAGTTCCACATGGCTGGGGAGCCCTCAGAATCGTGGTGGGAGGGAAAAGTTCTTCTTACACGGCAGTGGTAAGAGAAAAATGGGGAAGAAGTGAAAGCTAAAACCCCCGATAAAGCCATCAGATCTCATGAGACTTACTCACTATTGTGAGAATAGCATGGGAAAGACTGGCCCCCATGACCCAATTACCCCCCCCCCCGCCCGGATTCCTCCCACAACACAGGGAAATTTTGGGAGATACAATTCAAGTTGACTTTTGGATGGGACACAGCCAAACCATAACACTATCTCAAAGATTTGTTATGAATATTAAACAAGATAATATCAATGAAACATTGGTCTGACTTTGAAGTAGCAAGTGCTAGAGGAATATTAGTTACACTAATTGTGTTAACATTGTTTTATTGTTTTTTGACATACACACATATATGGCAGAATTATAGAAAAAATAAAACAAAGCGATTTTATAGTGACTATTTCCTCTGAGGTTAAAGAAAGGGAAATCCATGTCAGGAGGGGCACAAAAAAAAGGACACCTGTAATATTTATTTTTTAATGAAAATTTCTGAAGCAAATGAGACAGCATTTTAATATGCATTCATCTGATATGAGGGTTTCAAGTGTACTAATTACAGTATTACATACTTACTCTCGTGTGTTTAACTGTTGCCCAAGAATATTTTTCAGAAAAGAACTCACAAAAGAATGAAAACAGAACGTTGTAAGTGAAGTGATACATGACAATATCAGCTTGAATTAAAGGAGGGTCTGAGTTGTGGAGCTGGGATCAGGCGGAGAAATGCCACAGAAGTCCTCCTAGATATGTTCAGGAATAGAAAATATTGGATCTGGAAGAGGAATGAAAAATAAATCACAGCTTTAACACCTACTCCATAGCAAGTACACACTAGATTCTTTTTTGTTTGAACTTACTTTAATGAGAAATACAGCAAACATGCAGAAATGTACATAGCATAAATGTGTGCATCACCAATTCTGATTGTGTAAACTTCATAGCTAACCAGTGGTTATCAACTTATGGGAGAATTTGCACCCTACGAGACATTTGGCAGTCTAGATACATTTTTTGGTTTTCACAACTGCAGGAGAACGTATTTCTGGTATCCAGTTAGAGGCGTCCACGAAAGCTGTTCCACATCCTAGCCTCATAAGACAGCTCTTACAACAAAGAATTATCCAGCCCAAAGAGTCAACAGTGCTAATGTAAGCACCGCCCAACAAGTAATAGGATTTTCTGAACTTTGTAACAGCCCACGTTCCTCTTTCCAACCAAAACCATTTCTCCTCAACCCTGTCCTACCCTGACTTTTGTGATAATCACATTCTTACTTTAACATTTTTCAGCTTGAGGATGTATTCCTAGATGCCTGAATTTAACCCAGGCTCTTCCATTAACACGCTGTATCATCTTGGAAAAATCCCTTCAGTTCTCTGTGCTTCATTGACTTCATCTGTACCGTGTGGGGCCAGCAGTGCTCACTTCGCAGCATGCCAGATCTCATGAGTTGGCACGTGTAAAAAGCAGCTAGAACAGAGCCAGGCACATAGGAGGCGCCCCGTGCATTCAACATGAGGGTCATATCAGGACTATTTCTATCAACAACAGAGGACTTTGAATTCTCTCTGGGCAGCTGGTCGAGGTGTATAATTTCAGCACTGAGAGAATTGAGTTTCTACACTTTCAGCAACCTGAGTTGGCAACTTCACACAGCATTAGGAGACCCTGTCTCTATAGTTCTCACTGTACAGTACTGGCTACGGCTTTTATTCCCAGGCCTGGCACCTCTTTCCTGCTTGTCCTCCAATAGGTAACTCGGCCTCTCTGATCAGTGTTGTTTCTCTCACCTATTGCATAACAAATGGGGGCGTTTTGATTCATGAGGATTTGGGGCAGGTAGAGAGCAGATAACAAGTTGGGTTCAACTGAAAAAGACTCCTCATTGTGCAAAAGATATCGACCACTTGACACTTCCTCTGTTGCATTGTCTAACTTCCTCTTGGCCTGCGGCAGCATGGATTTTTTTATTTAACTCTCTCAGAGGCTGCAAAGATACTGGAGCGTGGCAGGTCCTCGACACTAGGATTCCTTTTCCCTTTTCTGATGTTACTACTCCTGCCTTTTCCTGCCACTGGCAAGACTGAAAGGGACTTTTCTCAACCCTTCTAGGCCATCAACTTCACACAAATGAGAAACTTTTGTTAAAAGGGAATGAGGGTGACTGGTGTTACATTATATGACATGATGCCCCATAGTGAAGCTCAATGTGAATCCATTATGTGTCCAGCCTTTTCTCACCCTGGGGTGCACGGTTCTCCTCTGCCCCCACCTCCCACACCTCTCATCCAACTAATGCCCATTTGCTGTTCAGATATAGATTCTACTGTAACCTCTTGATGAGTAAAACACACAAACTGTAAGATATACCACCACAGCACTCATTGTCCCAGCTTCAGGAAGAGTCATATACCCACGGCACACAGTTGAGTCCTTTTGGCATAGGGGAACTGCCTCTACCAATATTATATTTCTTTTCCAGAGGCAACACATGACTAAGGAGAGGTTGTGTGTGTACAAAAGCCCTTTGTCTTCAATTTCAAACAACTCCAAAGGACCACTCCCACTGCAGAATGTCAATTGGCATCCACCTTGGATTTTGTAGCCACCACATCACAGGTCCATTTCTGCTTTTCTTCTTCCAAGTCTGTATTCTGGAGAACATTTCCAAGTACATTTTCTTCATGAAAACACAGCTACTCAGGGAATTTGCAGAAGTGGTCCAAGAAATCAGACTAGAAAATGGAACTCTGGAGTTGAATCATCTTATGGGGCTAGCAATGCAGATCCCGTCACGGGTCAGGGGAAGCGTGGGAGCCCCAGGGATTCAGTACTTCTGACAGCATCTATGCATGGTGAACTGATGAAGGGAAATAGAGTACTGAACGGGAATGTACTAGCAGGTGCAATACCTGAGACTTCGGAGAGATTTAGGAGATTGGTGATTATAAGAATGATGGAATTGAATAATTAAATGTGTATAGCTCAAGGCAAAAGACAATAAAAGGCTGAGAGTGATTAACCACTAACTGAAAGTTAAGTTTGAAAGTCAGAGTCCTCCTTGGAAACATATATAGATAATTTCATATATAGGTTGGATACCCCTTACCCAAAATTGGACCAGGAGTATTTCAGGTTTTGGATTTTTTTTCTTTTTCAGATTTTGGAATATTTGCATATACATGATGAGATCTCTTGGGGAAAGAAACAAAGTCTAAACACAAAATTTATTAATATTTCAGAGCTATCTTATACACATTGCCCAAAGGTAATTTATACAGGATTTTTAATAACTATGTGCATAAAACAAAGTGTGTGTGTACTGAACCATCAAAAAGCAAAAGTGTCACTATCTCAGCCACCCATGTGGTATCATGTCAGTGCCCTAAAAGTTTCATGTGTAGAGCATTTTAGATTTAGGATTTTTTGACTGGGGGTAATAAACTGTACTCCAAGGCAAAGAGAAAAATAGTGAAGAGGCCTAGGACATTATTTTAAGGGTAATTGGCCTTCAAAGGCAGTTGGTCTTAATTTCAGCAAGTCCACTAGGTCAAAGTCAGCGTCCTAATTGTGAAGAAGGACTCTGAAATTGAGGGTCCTTCCACTTAGATAAACACATTAAAAGATTTAACACATAGATTTCAATGAACACTCTTGTCTTGCAGACATGCTCACCCCCCTTTCCTTTCTGTGCAACAGCTAGTTCTCCCTTCTTGCTTGACAGCAATGCAGAAGCCTTGACAATATGGGCCTTCTTCTGGCTGTAGCTGAACCTCTCTTTCTGGAGGTCAGGCCAAGAGCAACGGTGGAGTCCTAGCATAGCTCAACTGAGAAATTGCTGGGCTTCCTGAGGGGAAAGGAGATTAAACTGAAGAGGCGTTGCAAGACAGAGCCAACTGTGCTGACAGGAATTGGGAGAGTTCATATGAGGCTTTACCCTGAGGCTGCTGGATTGACGTGGGGAAGAAGGTAAGGTTTGATACGGGAGGATCTGGCTATACAAAGACATTCTCTGTGGTACAGAATTCTCACTGACTGCAAGGACCCTGGGAAAGCGTATGAATAGATGTCAAAACTGCCATAGGAGAGATCACTGCTGAAACTCCAGCCTGGTACCATCCTCTGAGGACACCAAGCAGCGCTTGGTCACAAGTTGATGACAACTGATGTTCTCTTTGCAGGAGTGTGCTGGTTGCAGTCTCTGGGAAGCAAATGCTCAGATAGATTTGAGAATGCCAAGGGTTGTGTGTGTGTGTGTGTGTGTGTGTGTGTGTGTGTGTGTGTGTGTGTTTGTGTGTGTTTGTTTGTGTGTGTGTGAGATAAGTGAAGTAATAGGAGAAAGAGTAGGGTTGGGCAGACAGAATCATCAGACTGGGATGAAGGACCAGGTGCTGAGAATGCTGGCTATTGACACAGCTGAATCTTTTCCTGGGGATTGCCATCAGCTCAACTTGCTGTCTTATTCAGCTGTGTAGTCCTTAGAGACTGCTTATATAACCTCAAATGCAACAAAGTAAACCCAGGACTTCCTTTTCTTCTTGGGACAACTTTGAAGTTTGATCCCATCTCCACAGCTTCTTGATGGTATGTGCTGAGGTCTGCTTGTGACCGGATTTCAGTTCACCCTTTCTTTTTGCTGGATCCTGTTTTCTTCATTCCTTTGCAGGTGTTGATCCTGAAAACACTTGCCAGTTTACCACAGGCACACTACTCTCCATCTCAGAGAATCTGACTGTATTAGTCCGTTTTCAAGCTGCTGATGAAGATGTATCCTAGACTGGGAAGAAAAAGAGGTTTAATGGACTTATAGCTCTACATGGCTGGGGAGGTCTCACAATCATGGCAGAAGGCAAGGAAGAGCAAGTCACATCTTACACAGATGGTGTCAGCAAAAAAAAAAGAGAGCGAGAGAGACCTTGTGCAGGGCAACTACCTTTTTTAAAACCATCAGGTCTTGTGAGACCCATTCACTATCACCAGAACAGCATGGGAAAGACCTGCCCCCTTAATTCAATTCTCTTCAGTGGGGTCCCTCCCACAACAAGTGGGAATTATGGGAGTTACAAGATGGGATATGGGTGTGGACGGAAAGCCAAACCATATCATTCCACCTCTGGCCTCTGCCAAATCTCACATCTTCTCATTTCAAAAACAATCATGCCTCCCCAACTGTCCCCAAAAGTCTCAAATTATTTCGGCATTAACTCAAAAGTCCACAGTCTAAAGTCTCATCCAAGACAGGGCAAGTCCCTTCCACATATGAGCCCATAAAATCAAAAGCAAGTTAGTTACTTCCTATATACAATGGGGGTAGAGGCATTGGGTAAATACACCCGTCCCAAATGGGAGAAATTGGCCAAAACAAAGGGGCTACAGGCCCCATGCAAGTCTAAAATCCAGTGGGACAATCAAATCTTAATACTCCAAAAAGATCTCCTTTGACACAATGTCTCACACCCAGGTCATGCAAGAGGTGGGCTCCCATAATCTTGGGCAGCTTTGACCCTGTGGCTTTACAGGGTATAGCCTTCCTTCCAGCTGCCTTCACAGTCTGGCATTGAGTGTCTGTGACATTTCCAGGTTCACAGTGCAAGCTGTCAATGGATCTATCATTCTGGGATCTGGAGGATGGTGGCCTTCTTCTCACAGCTCCACTAGGCAGTGCCCTAGTAGGGACTGTCATGGGGGCTCCCACTCCACATTTCCTTTCTGCATTGCCCTAGCAGAGGTTCTCCATGAGGACCCCACCCCTACAGCAAATGTGTGGCTGGGAATCCAGGCGTTTCTATGCATCTTCTGAAATCTAGGCAGAGGTTCCCAAACCTCAGTTCTTGACTTCTGTGCACTCACAGGTTCAACACTATGTGGAAACTGCTAAGGCTTGAGGCTTGTACCCTCTGAAGTCATGGCTCAAGCTATACGTTGGCCCCTTTCAGCCACAGCTGGAGTGGGTGGGATGCAGGGCACTAAGTCCCCAGGCTGCACATAGCATGGGCACCTTGGGCCCGGACCACAAAACTACTTTTCCCGCCTAGGCCTCTGGGCCTATGATGGAAGGGGCTGCCAATAGGGTCTCTGAAATGCCCTGGAGTCATTTTCCTCAATGTCTTGTTGATTAATATTCATCTCCTCATTACTTATACAAATTTCTGCAGCCAGCTTGTATTTCACTGCAGAAATTGGATTTTCTTTTCCATGGCATTGTTAGGTCACAAATTTTCCAAACTTTTATGGTCTGCTTCCTTTATGAAGCTGAATGCCTTTAACAGCATCAAAGTCACATGGTGAAGGCTTTGCTGCTTAGAAATTTCCTCCACCAGAAATCCAAAATCATCTCTCTCAAGTTCAAACTTCCACAAATCTCAAGGGCAGGTGCAAAATATCACCAGTCTCTTTGCTGAAACATAAAAAGAGTCACCTCTGCTCCAGTTTCCAACAAGTTCCTCATTTCTATCTGAGGACATGAGGACTGGACTTTATTGTTTATATCACTATCAGCACTTTAGGCAAAGCCATTCAACAAATCTCTAGGAAGTTCTAAACTTTCCCACATTTTCCTGTCTTCCTCTGAGCCCTCCAAACTATCCCAAGCCCTGCCTGTTACCCAGTTCCAAAGTCACTTCCATATTTTCAGGTATCTACAGCAGCACCCCACTCCCAGTACCAGTTTGCTATATTAGTCTATTTTCATGCTGCTGATAAAGATGTAACCTAGACTAAGAAGAAAAAGAGGTTTAATGGACCTCTTTCAGTTCCACATGGCTGGGGAAGCCTCACAATCATGGCAGAAGGCAAGAGGAAGCAAGTCACATCTTACATGCATGGATGGCAACAGGCACACACAGAGAGTGTGTGCAGGGCAACTTCCATTTTTAAAGCATCAGATCTTGTGAGACCCATTCACTATCATGAGAACAGCATGGGAAAGACCTTCCCCCATCATTTAATCATTTTCCACTGGGTCCCTCCCACAACACATGGAAATTATGGGAGCTACAAGATGAGGTTTGGGTGTGGACACAGAGCTGAACCGTATCACTGACCTAGAAGTTTGGTTAAGCTTACAGAATATAGCCCCAGCCTGTGTGAGTCCACATTAGGCTCTGCCGTCTACTATCTACATGACTTTTAGCAAGCTGTGTAACTCTGGATGTCTGATTTTCCTCGTCTACTCAATGTAGATGATAACACTGACTTCACCAGTTTATTAGGAAAATTAAGTGAGATATAAGTTAGAAGATGGAACAGTGTTTGCCACACACTAAGCAAGATGCAACTGTCCTCTGTTGTTCTTGTTATTATTATTATTATGACTGTAGAGTATATTTGTTAAGAATGAAACTATGCAGTCAGACTGGATTTGACTACAAGTTCTGCTACTTATGAGCTTCAAGAGATTGACCCCACCTAGACACACTGTGTCATAATTTCCTCCAACATAAACTGGTAATAATTGCAGTGCTTATAGGGTAGAGGTGTTGTGGTGACAATTCATGTTATTTAGTAAAATAAATAACATGACTGATTACATAATTCATACTAAGTTCTCAATGAATGATGGCTATGACTAGAAAAACAGTAAAAAAATAATATACATTGAGCAGTTACTAAATGCCAGGCAGTGTATATCTCATTTAATTTTTGTAACATCCTTATTTGAAATAAATTTGCATCCCAAAGCCTCTAAGGTGCATACATGGAACTGAAGCCCAGGCAGCTTTAAACCACAGTTACATTATTGATGCAATATCCTGCTTCAAGGAAGTCTTCTTAGAAAGATACCCACTTTCCCTTTTACCCACTCCTACCTCACATACTGGGTTAGTTTTTTCCTATCTTCCTGCTGCTTCCATATATCCTTACATAGCACACGCCATGAAGCTTCTCTCTCTTCATTTCCATGAGCACTTTATCCTGTTTTCTCTTCAAAGGCAGGTGTTCTTTCACATTTACCCTTGGATCCCCAGTTCTGGGCCTAGAACCTGGTATAAAGTAAACATTCCATAATTTGCGCTGATTCACTATGAAGTCAATGGAACTGCATTTTTGCGCCCAGATGTAAACCTAAGTTTTGCTTTGTGCAATTTTGGGCTCACTTTAGAGCATTGTGTTGAGCTGTCCCCCTTGTGAGAGAGTCACTCATGGTGGCACCCTTCCATTATTAAGATTTGCCACATGGGGGCTGGGCATGGTGTCTAATGCCTGTAATCCCAGCACTTTGGGAGGCCAAAGCGGGTGATCACTTGACGTTAGGAGTTTGAGATTAGCCTGGCCAAAATGGTAAAACCTCATCCCTACTAAAAATACAAAAATTAGCCAGGAATGGTAGTGGGTGCCTGTAATCCCAGCTCCTCAGGAGGTTGAGACAGGAGAATCACTTGAACCCAGGAGGCAGAGGTTGCAGTGAGCTGAGATTGTGCCACTGCACTCCAGCCTGGGTGATACAGTGAGACTCATTCTCAAGAAGAAAAAAAAAATGATTTGCCACATGGGTTTTGAGAGACTTGTGTCACTGTCAAGGCCCTCCTGGAATACACCCCTATCACAAAAACTTATCCTTTGAACTCTCTGAAGATAGACTTTCCTCAGTACAACATCCAGAGGGTTTCCATAGTGATTGCTGACACTTAAAAGGCGCCAGAATGTCCATCTCCTACATCTGACTTTCTCCCTCTCTGCGTGTCATTCAGGTGACATGAAGCAGGTGGAATGAGCCTCAGGTCATCTTACCAAATGTTTCACAGCTGACAGAAGCAGGTGCATCCACTAAATAAATTACTCAAGCTGCATAAAGGCTGGCACTTAATCTCTCTGAAACCACAGAGACACGCTTGTTTTCATCAGCTCTACAATCCCTGTGGAATCCCTGAGCTCAATGAATGGGCTCATGTCCAGGGGTGTGGCACATGGGTGGTATTTCATAAATATTTATAAATATCCAGTGTACATACAGGTAGCCAGTGAGTGTCCAAATATATGATTTCATTCAGCCAGAATCAGCAAAGATGCTTATGTAACACACACAAAGCACAGACATATGAGTAACACCAGACACCATTGGATGAGATTCTAAGGCTACGCATAGACACATAAGTGATAATATCCTAGAAAATTAAAACTTTTATTTTCTGTTTACTACTTTTTTAGCTCCTTCAGGATACATTCTACATACGATTAAATAATTTTTACTTTAAATGCAAAGTATAACAACATGAAATATAACATCACTTTCTTGTATTCACAAGATTGAGTTTTTAAGTTACATGTTTCTCTGATAACCAGTTGGAGATGTAAAGTGATTTGATAGTACCTATTTTTGAATAATTTTAATGTTTTATTCTACAATTTTACATCAAGAATATAATATACCCACATTATTTATAATATCAAACACTAAGGACCCTCCAAGCCAAATGGTTTGTTATAACAATTTATTATTGCTTATGTGTCTATGGATGGTCTAAGCAGTTTGCCCAATGTTGTCTGGTCTCACTCATGTATCTGTGCTCTGTGTAGGTTACATGTGCACCTTTACTAATTCTGGCTGGGTGGGATCATCTATTTGTACACCTGCTGGTTTTAAGCTGGTCTATGATAACCTTGATTATTCTTGTCACCTTCCACAGGCCCCCGGCATGGTACCCTAGGCTTGTTCTCAATCAGTGCTTTGGGTCCACAAGAGAGGAAGCATGAGAGGAAGTAGACATGCACAAGAACGTTTTCAGGTTTGCTGTAAGTCATGAGACCAAGTCCAAATTCAGTGAGGTAGATGCTGTCAAAGAGCATGAGCACAAAGAGGTGCGCGTACTTAACCATGGTTTTGAAAAAATATGGTTTTTCATACAAATGCATTATGTCCCAAAACCTTTGTATGCTACTGAGTACTTGAAGTTTGTTGAAACTTGCTTTTAGAATGTGGTAAGATTTTGTTTTGTTTTAAATTTCGTGCGTACTTGAGAATATTTTGTTCTTAATCTCAAATGGTTAGGTGAGGGTTCTATGGTCAGCCTTTGTTACTATGTGATTCAAATTTTATCAACCTTCATTAACTGTTTGTTTGCTTGAGACAGTAAATGAGAGATACCATCTCACACCAGTTAGAATGGCAATTATTAAAAAGTCAAGAAACAACAGATGCTGGCGAGGTTGCAGAGAAATAGGGATACTTTTACATTGTTGGTGGGAATGTAAATTAATTCAACCATTGCAGAAGACAGTGTGACGATTCCTCAGAGATCTAGAACCAAAAGTACCATTTGACCCAGCAATCTCATTACTGGGTATATACCCAAAGGAATGCAAATCATTCCATTACAAGATATATCCATGTGTATATTCACTGCAGCAATATTCACAATAGCAAAGAAATGGAATCAACCCAAAGGCCTATCAAGAATAGACTGGATAAAGAAAATGTGGGACATCTACACCATGAAATTCTATGTAGGACATGATCTCTATTTCACATGACATTTAAAAACTAAGCCTGCCACATTTTAGTTATTATCTTTCTGGCAAGCCTTTTTCCATATTTCTATTTTTTTAATTTTTATTTTTGAGATAGAGTCTGGCTCTGTTACCCAGGCTAAAGTGCAGTGGTGCAATCACAGCTCACCACAACCTCTGCCTTCTGGGTTCAAGCGATTCTCCTGCCTCAGCTTCCCCAGTAGCTGGGAATACAGGTGTGTGCCACTGTGCATCTGGCTAATTTTTGTATTTTTCAGTAGAGATGGAGTTTTGTCATGTTGGCCAGACTGGTCTCAAGCTCCTGACCTCAGGTGATCAGCCCACTTCGGCCTCCCAAAGTGCTGGGTTACAGGCATGAGCAACCACACCTGGTCATCTTTTTCCATATTTTTAATTTTAATATGTCTGGGTTGGATCTCTTACAAACAGAAGATAGATGTGGTTGTTTAAAAATCTAATATATATATATATATATATATATTTTATTATTATTATTTTTTAATTTAGGTACATATCATATCTGGCATTTCTCCCCATGTTTTCCCTCCCCACCCTCCCCACCAGCCCCACCCCCTCCTCTCTCTCCCTAATAAATGGTTTTGTCTGTTTATATTATTTAGAATATTGGACTTATATTGGGGATTTTTAATTTATCACAATCTTCCACTTTTTGTTAGGTTTCATCTGCCTCCTCACCTTCACTTTCCTTTTTTTTTTTTTTTTTGAATGAATTACTTTTACTCTGTTGTTTTTTCAGTTTTGTTTATCTCACTTTATTCTACTGGACTTTATGTCATGTTGGATTTTTATAGCGGGTATTGTACCTTGCTTACTCACTCTTCCTAAGAGGATAGGATTTTATTACTCTTATGATTTACAAATGATATTTCTTCAACGTTTTTGTTTTGGCTTATTTTATAAACCTCAGATTTGACAATATTATGATTATGATTATTTTCTTCAGGCACTGTCTGTTTGTATTTACTCATGTTTATGCATATTTTGTGATTGTTTATCCTTATCAGTTTTTAGATCTTCCTTATTTGTTTCATTTTTCCAAAATAAACGGCTGTTATAAAATAGAAATACATAAACAAATAAATCTGAAGTAAATACTCCATTATTTTCTGAAATAAAAAAATAATTCTATTCTGATTTTTGTTTGTGTATTTGAAAGTATGTTTATCCTTGAGATTGAGTTTTGTGAATACCCAATCTTTTGTTGGTAGTTATTTTATCTTAGTTCTTTGAAGATATTACTTCATTTTTTTTTTCCTTTTTTGCTTTTGGAACATTACTATTGTCTAACAGTCATTCTTTAATGAATGGTACAACTTTTCTCTCTGACTGCTTGTAAGGCTGTCATTCTGTTTTTGGTATTCAGCCAACTAAAGACAATGTGTCCAGGGTTGGATTTCTTTTTATTTAGGCTACTTTGCATGCCTTGTGTTTCTTATATTTGTGGCTCATGTTTCTCACAGGTTTTAACAATTATCAGAAACCATAACTTTAAATAATTCATATTTTCTGTTCTCCCTGCTTCTAGTATGCAAATAGATATAATTTTAGATATTCATATTCTCCTCTCAATGTCCTTTAATGTTTATATTTCCCATCTCCTCAAATCAGTAAGCATCCTGAGTGCTTCTTTGGGTCTGTGCTGTGCACACTAGCTCTATCTTCTCTGTGTTTAACCCATTTCTAAACCTCCTTCCACTGTGTATGCTGGGTTGACTCACTCATTTCACATCCAAGCTACTTTTTGGGTAGAAACCTTAAAGTAGGAAATGACTGTATTTCAAAGATGCTATTAAAACTAGGATACTAGATGTTTTTGCATGAGATTTGAAATGTAGAACTGAGGTGGAGCCCTGGTTGCTGCTGCAGACTAGGAGGGTCTCAGGAATGTAAGGATCACCTGTGACATGGCATAGCCCCCTCTCCAGTTCCCTGTGTGCTGACACTCAATGACAATGGTGGTGACAGAGGATCTGTCTTCCTGATCTGCTACCCTCATCCTTAGGTCAGAGCTTTCTCCATTCTCTGGCTTCCTGAAAATGAGCAGCATGTATCATGGTGGCCCTGGAAATAATTTATGAATTCTGGCTTAGCACTAACGATGGTAGGTCAGTGCTGGTGGTTTGGGAGCCATTTCAGGAAACAAAACAATTCAAAAATCAACCC